CGTGATAACGAACCGGCGAATCAGGATGTTGAACCCTGATAGCATAGTAAATTCTTAAATTAATGTCTTTTTACAAATTTATTGGCTTTTTACAAAATTTTAAACCATATTAAAATGTTTATGCCTTCAAAATAAAAAATTCTAATAATATGCTAACATTTGTTAACATTTTTTATGTGTATACTGTATCTTGTTGCCAATAAAGTCTGCTTGACGAGATTTGCGCTGGCAAAATGGAAAAGTACCGTGGATTTTAAAGAGTGCATTTATTCTATTGTGGTTTATGCACTATCAACAAAGTAGATTTAATTCAATCCAATAAGTTTAAATGAAATGCAAGAAAAAGTGCGTATAATTTAATATTCCGTACAAGGAAGCCATGTAATGTACACATCAGATTTTTTTCTTTGTACACAAGGGGAAAAAAGATCATCGCTGATACTTTCAAATAATTTTAACAAAGTGTGTAAACCACATTTGGTGTTATTATCACTTATAACAAATATGCCAAATTTCCAAATGTGCCAATATGTCAATTCACATATATCTTGAATAAAAAACCCTTAATTTTTTGCAGGTACTTAATTTTTTGCATCTACTTTAAGATGATGGTAAAAATTTTTATAGGTTACCATTCAAAAAGTTTATAAAAATTATTTTAAAATACAAATTTAAAAAATAAATCATAAAAAATTGGCAAATTTTATTTGCAATGAACCTAAATTTAAAATGTGAAAGAAAGAATCAAATAAGTTTAATAAAAAAGAGATATTAAATAAATATATATCAAATTCAATTAACATTGAGGAGCTAAAATTTTGAGAGCTAATTTTTTAAAAACTACTCATGTGATTTTTACAACACTTGGCAGTTCGGAATAATTTGAGTCATAGAATCGAAATGTGGAAAAAAACTGGCATGTCATTTCAGAAAAAGTCCGATTTTGTTTCAGAATACCTATATTAGAACAATGCTATATATAAATCTAATACATATTGTAAGTCGTGCTGTCGAGTCATTAAAAACCCAAGTTGAATTTTGTCTGTCCACCCAGTAGAACAGGAGATATAGAGCTGACCCCCCTTTTTTTTGCAGTGTACATGTATTGCATTTTAAACTAGAATTTTGGTAGAACTAAAAAGAAATTTTGCTAGAACTTTCGTTAGAACTTCAACTAGAACTACTTTCTTGAATAAAAGCTCAGGAATTGCCATGTACACAAAAATTCCATATTGTTGAGCCATATGGAGTTTTCGTGGGTTTATTATATTATATATAACAGGGTTTATTACATTATACAGCTACAATTTAATTTCAGGAAGGGGCAGTGACTTTTATCTAAAACCAATGTTTTTGTGGCTGGCTGTATTCTGTTTAGAAACTGAAACTTAAGTGGGCTGCAGCCTCTTCAGCTCCGTCCTAAAACATGACCATGAAGTGTGTAAAAATGCAGCTCAGAATGAATGGAAGAAGAAATTTTCACTCTAAATGTATAAAAACTGTCATCTTATTTGTTATTATCTTGAATAATAATAATAAAAAAAACTATATTTAAAATTTTATAAGATTTAAAAAAAAGTACCTTTGAGACATAAAAACTGACAAAATTTGTAGGCCTTAAATATATAAAAGCAAAATTAATAATGAAACCCTGTTAGCCATGCAGGTTGGCAGAGAAATGTTACCAAATTTGCACCAAACATTTCAGCAGAAGTTTAAAGAAGAACACCATTCTTTATTTAGTTAGATAATCAACTGATTCAAGTTACAGATAGCATATAGAAAACTTAAATTTCTTATATAATTTTTCATGTTGCCTCACCATTGCTTATCTGTTTTTAAGTCGCATATTGTATCCATTAAAGGAAACTTTTCTTGTTGCGAGGATGCCATAACTTTGAAAATATTCTACTGCATGCTGTTCTGCAGAAGGCCAAATATTAATAATATTTTTTAATATTATTAATATTTTATATTATTAATATAAAAATAGGTAAATAGCAGTTAATATTTATCTTTTGCAAAAACAAGTTGGTTTATCATAAATTAATTGAGTTTACATCAGTGGTATGCCATGGTTTTTACCGAAGGGTACTAGATATAAAAAACTGTTATACGCTTATCTAAGATAACTGCACAGACAGCAGTGGTGGTCATCTTAGAGAGACTGTTAAACTCTAGGTTATTTAGTACTAGTATTTAACAGTATTCGCATAAATAGTGGTCATTTTCAGAAGTAGTCATTCATTTGAAAGAAGTGATAACACAGGGTTTATTATATTTTGAGTATGGAGATTAATGATACAGTTTGAAGACTAATGAGTACAATAATAGTTAAAATGCTTTAACAAATTTATGAATACTGTATAAAAAGTACCACTTTTATGAAAACTGTATAAAAGTACCACTTTTTATACAGTTTTCATAAATTTGTCATAAATTTTCATAAATAAGTCAAAAAGATCTTACCATAATAAATAAATAATTTGGATTTGATGGATGAAAAAAAAAAGTTTAAAATATTTCATCTAAAAAAGAAAAGAAGGCCAGCAAAAATTACTTTTTATTTTACATGCTGTTAATCATTTTGAAATTATATAATATTTCATTTTGAAATAACAGGTATAATGTTTCATGATTTTACAAATGAGAACACTTAAAACTTGGAATTACTGCATCATTATATTTTGCTTTGCTTAAGAACAAACACTTTCATAAAAATAAAATATAGGTGTAATATTTAAATTAATTTCACTTATAAGAATCATTAAAATTTGTTATGACCTGCCAGCAGTAATTTACAGTGTATCTAAGGGCAATTACGGGTACATGTGAAAGCCAGCTAGTCTTTCTTCACATAGAACCAATGAGACCCCCAAAACACTTGACTGTACTAATTCAGAAGTCAAGCAACAAAAATCAGCATTATATTTTCAAATTTTCACAGGACTAATTTTGATGGCTTTACCAAACCACCATCCTCAGCTGAAAAAACGCAAATGAACGAGATAGGATATAATGATCAGATAAGATAAGAAAGCCTTGACAGAAAATAAGCTACTGGCGCCATCTGTTCATGAAACCGGAACTAAAACCTAATTTCTTTAAAGGCCGAAGGCAAAGATGGATTGGAATTAGGATTGTTAACTAGAACAGAAAGATTTTTTTGAATGTGAAATGCCTCTAGAAAATCCAGTTCTCCAATGGAAGGTGTTTTTTGATTAATTTTGGCAGCAGAAAAATTGAAAGTGTGATTTTGGGCCAACAATGTTGAGCAACAGAAGACTTCTGTGTTTCCTTTTTGCTAACATATGCCTCATGTTCCTTGACGCAAAATTTTAAGGCTCTCTTAGTTTGGCCAATGTAAATTAAACCACACTGGCAAGGAATCCTATAAATACACCAGGAATTCATATTCGGAATGGAGTCCTTGAGTATGGAACTTGGAATTTTATTGATGGGAGAATAAACGACCTGAAAGTTAAATTTCTGCAAAATATGTGCAACTTTATAGCTAATTGATGGAAAGAAGGGAATGACAACAGAATTTTTATAATCTCCAAAACAAGAGTGTGCTTTTAGTGTGTTAAGATGAGAATTTTTTAACTGCTTGATTAATAATGTTGGGTGAAAAGCCCCTGCCAATAGCTATTGCTTTTAAATAATTTAGTTCTTCATCAAGGGATAGTTTGGAGGAGCAGACTAACCGTAGTAAACCGTAGTACTGAAGTTGGATGTGTTACGTGTGACCAGAATGTTGAGAAACAGAAGGGAATTGCAAGTCTCAAGTTCAAAATTGAACTGAATAGCAGGATCAATAGAATTAATTGTTGAAAGAACTTTATTTAAATCATGTTTATTACCAAACAGGGTAAAAGTATCGTCTATATAGCAGAACCATACAGGGAAGTTTAAAGTTTCAAACAATTTTGATTCATAATAATGCATGCCAGGATTATGAATCAAAAGGTATGATATCAGCCAGGATCTCTACATGCATTATTATGAATCAAGATGATTGTAGTCAAATGGAATGCAGTCTCAAAAGAGGTAAAATGATGTTCTTCTAATGCTTTTGAATGTTAGATAAAAGTACACTTGAAAAGGTTAATGAAAAAATGCTAAATAAAAATATGCTTGAAAAGGTTATTGAAAAAATGCTAGATAAAAAATACACTTAAAATGTTAGTGGACTACTCTAATGTCTCTAGTCAGCTGCTGGCATGTTACTGGTTTATGTAAAATGAAGGCAAAGTTCTTATGGGTGTGTTGTGATGTGATATGTATCCATTATTGGAACAAAATCACATTATTAAGCGACAGTATCCTAAGCAGGCTTTATGATGGTTTTACAAGTTTCTCATTTGTTACATTTTTCAGGGGAGGAGGGAGATTTCTAAAATGTACCAGTTACTTGAATGTCAGATGGTCAAGTGTTTAGTGTATATCCTTTTTGAATTGTGCTTTACTGTGTTTTAATTACTTTATAGGTTAATTTTAAATGGAAATTCCCTAGTAATGAATTTTATATATATTATCATTATTCCCTAGTGATGAATGTTATATATATTATCATTTTGCAGTGTTATATTTTTTCATATAACACTGGGATTTATTCAGGTGTTTTGTCGAACAATTTTTATATCATTTTAGTTGAAAGTCGCAAGAATATTTTCATTTGTTTCGAAATCTTCTGAAATTTTTAATTTAATGAAAATTAACGGGTAATTTGCCTAAAATTTTTTTCTTTTCTTTTTTTTACCTAATTTGATTGCTTAATTTTGCATTGTACTGTCTTTGGAAAATGCTGTATTTAATTAAAAGCAAGTGGAATTATCTTAGTAGTTTTACAGATCTTGTGTTATGTTATGATACAGTTTTTAAAATACTGTAATTTTTATCTTGCCATAATTATAGATGTAGATGTTTGGAAGCATTTTGTATTAAATTAAGCATATCATTTAGCTCGATTTTTTGATGTAGTTATTATCTTTCTTTAGAGGCATAATCGGCAAGAACAGAATGAAAAATGTAGAAACTGGTTACGTACAGGCACCTGTGCTTATGGGAATACATGTAGATATCAGCATGATCCTTTTCCTGGATCGTCAAGACGAAATACTAAATCTGAAAAGTATGTATTTTATTAATCATAATTAAAATTATGTACATATTTTATGAGTAGTATTATGTTCTCTTTTTAATGCCCTTTAATTCATTACTTAATAATTATTGTGCAATATAATATCTATAGCATTTGTTTCCTACTTAAAAAAACTTTATAAAAAATCTGCGGTTTTTACTATTTACATTCCTTTATTTCAGTGTGTACGTAAAATATGCAAAAGATGTTCCCTCCTTTTTTTTTAAATCCCTGCTCGGTTGATTTTACCTTCCAGCTAGGTATACTTGCTGTATCACCTTATACACAGATTTTTTAATGTTTTAAAGACACCTATTTTTTTTTTTTAACATGGAGTAGTGATATACAATATCATAATAGCCAGGAATTGCTCATATAAGATGCTCCCATCTTGAGGTGAAATAATTACCATTGGAGGTATATAAAAATGGATAAGTAAAAAAAATCAGGGACTTTGAAAAAGGCATGATCATCAATATCAGAAGATTTGTTTCCAGCCTCTCTAAATTATCTAATATATTTGCCCTTTCTCATGGATTATTATCTCATGTCTAGAAGAGAGGCAATCGAACAGAAAAATTTTATGCAGTAAGGATGATTTGGCCTTTCTCATGGATTATTATCTCATGTCTAGAGAGAGGCAATCGAACAGAAAAATTTTATGCAGTAAGGACGATTTTGGTCAGGAAATGTTGGTGAATGAAAGAGATAAAATGCAGCTGGCATGAACCATCTGCAACAACAGGACAAGAACATGATAGACTGCAGGTCTGTGCATGTGTCAAGTGCTCTCTCTCTCTAGATAACCCGTTGATTGTTGATACTTCAGAGATAGGATGATCCATTTATCTTATTCCAACAAGCATTTATGATGAAAGTTATAAAATTCATCATATTTACTCACTTTTATCAAATATATTTTATTTTTCAGGAGTTCCTCTTTTTTCGGGGGAGGGTATGTATACAGAGAAATTCTAAAGGCACACACGTCTCCAGCATGAAACCTGAATTTCGAAAAGTGTTATTGGTAAGAGAAACGGCGACAGAAAGAACATATTAGTAACTAGTACATTATATATGCTAATAAAAATAATCATTTAATTACTACAGTAGAATTTCAGAAATCCGCAAAGCTTGGGACCAGAGGTTGTGCGGATTTTAGGATTTTGCGGATTTCAGGACAGAAAAGATAAATCATAATATTCAGACTAAAAGTGCAAAATAGTAAATAAGGCGTATTATATATTGTATATTTAATTAAATTATTATATACATTATTGCAATAACTTATTATATGCATTAAATTAATTTTTACATATATAAATTGTTTATATTTTTCATTGTATTATATATACATAGCATCAAGGTTTGCTGATTTCTCCTCATGCAAAGATTTCCGGTTTCGGATTCCGGTGTTAGATTCACTGTTGCTGTAAAATTTCAACAACTTTTCTTTATTTTTCCGTATATCATACACAGTCGTATCACAATTCCATACGATTCTGCTGCTAAACTGAGGAGTAGCACCTGTCTCCTACTTTCGCAGAATTTGCACTTTTTGCATTACCGTCAATGAAACGTGTTTACGTTTTTCAACGTCGCAAGCAGTAAAATCATGAGTGCGTTTCTAATCTGTAATTGTATTAAAAAGGGCTGAAATTTAAAATATTCTTAATTTATATCCACAAAATATCCGGATAAAAAAAAAAGGCAGCACTAAATAATCTTATGAAATAACACAGCTCAGAAAATACAACAACGTGAATCGTGAACTTGAAAGAAGAGTTAAGTGAATCATCTGCTTTCTTACCTCGATGCAGATTAGAGGGGAAAAAACATTTATCATGGTGTCAATAATTTGGTATTTCCGTTATGACTCATTATTATTTGGTAATTATGACATCATTATTCGGTAAGTATTTTTCCTTCGATATTTCGTACTCAATGCTGTGGTTTCTGGAACCTATAAACTGAAAGTTTATATTTTGAGAGGCAACGTGGATTTCAGGAGTTGGCGGATTTCAGGTCGGTGGATTTTCTGTATTTGACTGTATAGATTTTTAAAAGATCCTGCTTGTTCATGCAAAGGAGTACAAACTCTGTTTTACAAATCTGAAGTTAAGCATGTTTTAAACAATGATAATATGTACTTTTGTCATTTTATTGTTGCTTAAAACAGTCATCCTCTTCACTTCCTTGCTTAGAAACTTTCTATTGACTGAAAATACTGTATAGGATAGGCAATAATTCTTTTGTCTGATGTCATACTTTCGTTTAATACTTCCAAAATTCTTTTTATATTTTTGCATATGCTCAATGATGAATGAATACATGCTGGTTTTGAGTAAATGGCACAATATTTTCACAATAGGTAAATAATTATGGCATCAGTAAAAATAAAAAAAAGTAATGTATAATTAGTCTCTTTTAAATACCATTTCCCCTTATATATGGCTGTTATATGCAAGTATCAGTTGCATATTTCTAATACACATAGTTGAACTATAAATTCACTTAAAATTATCTGAAAAAATAAAGATTTTGTTATAAACTCTTCACTTATTTTTTTAATATTATTAAAGCAGTTTTTTTATGGCTGATTATAGACTTATTTATTGTATTTTGAAGTGTTTTTACTTCCTTGTCTGAAGTAAAGGAAGTATTGTAATCACAAAAAATTTTGGGTATGATATTTCAATGAAAATATCCATTTTGACTGCTATTAAATGCAATTTAACAATGTTTTTGCATGACATTTGTACATTAGGACAGAATAAAGGACTCTTTTTCCCAAAATGGATTATAAAATTGATTTAAATGGATTCAAAAGGCAGTTTTTCGTGATGTCATTTATGTACATGTATGTATGTATCTCCTGTAACTCAAAAACAAGTTGACTTAGAATGTTTAAATTTTGTATATAGGACTGCTATAACATGTAGTTCTGTAACCATCTCCAAGGAACAGAAATTCAATTAAAACCAAATAATTTTAGTTTTAGGAATTTTAATTATTATTTTAAATTATTATTTTCAAAATTTTTATTCCTTTAAAACATAAAAATCTGTAAAGAAAAATTGTTAATCACAAAAATAAAAAAATCAAAAGTAAAAAATAATTTTTTTTTAAGTATTGAAAAAGTAGCTATTGTCATTGATCGTAGATTAATTGACTTATCAAGGGGAATAAACTAATCTACCATCAGTTAACAACAACTAATTAAGTGAGAGCATTTCGTCTTTCTTCGAAGTAAGCATCATATTTTTCTGCTAGAGCCAAATTAAAAGTCACAAATAATACTAATCAGAATAAAGACATTAGTACATTTAAGCCAAAAGAATTCAGAAACAAAATTAATTAGTAAATAATCTTTTAAATTTAAGTTACTCACTAAGAACACAACTAAACTAAACTGGAAACAACTAAAAAGGATGCTTACTTTAGAAGATACAGTCGAATCCAGTGGTCCATGGGATAATTGGACCAGCTGCTTTTTCGGACCAAATCCTAAAGAACCGAAACAAATCCTATGTACATAAGCCTAATATAATTCGCTTATTTGGACCAAAATTCCATTTAATCAGACCAAAAAACATGAGAGCAAATAAGAAACAGAAGCCACAAGTCGGCCGTGTACAGCGGATGTACAGGTGGACTGCAACATATGGGGAGGATCTGTAGTTGTGGCTCCCCAGGAAAAATGCTTTATCAAAGGTCAGGAATTCCTTAAAGTGCATGACAAAAGCAAAATCAGTGGGAGGTAAACACGCACACCATTTTCTTTGACATGCGCCTCCGAGTTTTGAGGAAATGAACAATAGAGTGTCCGGCTCCACCTGAAAGGAATTCCTGCCTGTCAAACATGATTAAAGTTTACACTAGAAAGCTATCATTTCATCACCTTTTTATGATGATTTTGGTGCTAAAGCTTTGAATGGCGAGCATTTTATCTCCCTCTTGACCTCAACATCTTGAACCTGAAACACCAAAATTTCTTCAGACCACTTTAGTCAGTGAACTGTTTGCGTGTCTTGTCTTCCCTGCCAAAATGCCATGACGGGACTTGACATTAGCTTAAAAAATTGGTTTCTTAAATAAGATCAAGCAACAACCACAAAACACTAGTCAGCATCGGGTGGTGAAAATAACTGAATTGGCAAAGACTACAATTCCGCGCTTGATAAAAGAAAAATGAGCTGCGAGAAGAATGGGCACAATGTGAAGGACAAGGAGGAACTCCCAAAAAACGGAAGCATGAAGGCAAGGACCCAGATGTCGATGAGGCCCTTAATGAATGGTTTGCCATTGTTACTGGACGATCTGTGCAAGTAAGCAGCCCATTGTTAAAATGCAAAGCAGAAGAACTTGCTAAAAAGCTGGGCCATGATGACTTTAAAGCTACGGACGGTTGGTTGTCTCTATGGAAATCTAGACATGACATAAAATTCAAGAAAGCACATGGTGAGAAAGAAAGTGCTGATAGTGCAAATGCTGAAGAATGGAAATCAACAAAACTGCCGGAGCTTCTTGAAAATTTTTCAGCAGATGACATCTGTAATGCTGATGAGACTGGACTGTATTATTGTGTTACACTGGATGGCTTGTTAACTTACAAACATATTGCACTATCTGGGTCCAAAAAAGCGATGGATCACGTAACTGATTTCTGCTGCTCAAACATGTCAGGAATGGACAAGAGGAAGCTGTTGGTTATAGGAAAAAGCACTAAACCTCGCTGCTTTAAAGGACTTAGGGTGGAGATTTTACCAGTTGTGTATCATGTGAACAGAAATGTGTGGATGACCACTGAACGTTTTAAAGAATGGCTGAAGGATTGGGACAGAGAGCTACAACGCCAGTCGAGAAAAGTGCTGCTTCTTCTTGACAATTGTGCAGCACATCCTCATTTAGATTGTTTGATGAATGTCCAACTGGAATTTCTACCTTCCAGGACCACAGCTTTGGTCCAGCCAATGGACATGGGCATCATAAAAAATTTGAAGACCCTTTATCGTGCAAGGTTGGTTAATACATCCTTGAAGCAATTGAAGAAAGTTTGCTGATCTCATCGTCAAAAGCCAGCGAAGTCAGTGCAAAGGTCAACATCTTACAAGCAGTTACATTTGTGGCCGACAGCTGGCGAAAAGTGAGCAGCGAGACAATTCAGAACTGTTTTTCTCACTGTGGCTTTAAGCACTTAGTTTTGGAGATGGATGTGGACATGCTCATTGAAAGTGAAAATGATGATTTACATGTGGAACTTCAATAGGTACAAAATTGCAAAGAATTTTTATCCATTGACAACGAGCTTCAATGCTACGATGAAAATGAAGATTACAATGCTGCAATCGTTGCTCGAGTTGCAGCAAAACACACAACAGCATCGGAAGACCAAGAAAATGATGATGATGATGCCGCTAATAAGTTGGTTCAAGTAACAACACAGGATGCGAGGAAATGCAAAACTTTACGTCGGTATTTCATGCAGGAGGGAAATGAAGACAGTCCCATTGCTGCATTAGATGTTTGTGGCGATTTCGTTCACGTTCAATTCATCAAGAGAACGCATCAGATCACATTGGATAAGTTCTTCAAATGTTGACTAGAACTTGGTAAGAAATGTTTTTATTGTGCTTCGCATGTTGAGTATCTTGGAGATTGTTTCTTAGAATTTGCTTCTAAATTAATTTTCTGATTGAAAAAAGTTAGACTGTAGTTCTTGTTTTTATATGTATGTTCGTCATACGTGTGTACAGCACCAAAAAGTTCATAATTGCATTTTAGTACATGATTTACATGTACATTTACTGTCTGCTACATATAGCATGTCCCGTCTTACAACATAGGACATGTTCGTATAATCAGACCAGCCGGTTATTAGGATGAAAACGATCGCTTCCTGATGTGGTCCGATTAACCGGAATCGACTGTATATCCCCGAAACTCTCATTTTCAAACTCTAATACAAATGTAAAAACAAAAGTATATATTTTTTAACATTAAAAAATAATTTAGAATCAAAAGAAGATCAGAATTGACAAAATTCTTAAAATTAGTTATTTAAAAAAATTTTAGATCAAACCCTGGAATGAAATTAAAATTAACTTATTTGCCCACAAAATTTAAAGCAAAATGGCTGGAAATGCAATGCATTCAGTGATGGAATGTAAGAAGGTTATCTTAAAAAGTGTGGTTCTCTATTTAAGAGATTTTAACCTTAAACTGGGGATAAAACTTTTGAAAGTTTTTGGAGATAATATATTGAGGCTGGTACTAAAATAGTGCTTGGAGCTGCCATTTAGATAGAATATAAATTCTAAATAAAAGTAATAATGAGTAAATTAAGCCTATGACCTGTGCTAAAGCTGCAAAGTAATAAACCAATAATTTATAATTAGAAAACTTTTCATATACCACCTCCAAGGAATAGAACTTCAGTTAAAACCAAATAAAATTTTAGTCAGTATTTTAATTATTATTTTAAATTAGTATTTTCAAAATCTTTATTGCTTCAAAAACATAAAAATCTGTAAAAAAAAAAAAAAAAAAAATTCTTTATCTCAAAAATACCAAAATCAAAAGTAAAAAATAAAATTTTTTTTTAAGTACTGAAAAAGTAGCTATTGTCATTGATTATAGATTAATCGACTTATCATGAGGAATAAACCAATCTACCATCAATTAACAGCTAATTAAGTGACAGTCTGTTACTCGGCTCGATGAGCTAAATTTTTTTATTCTCGCATGCTGGTAAATTGTGCATTTCTTGCTTGGTAAATTGTGAATTTTTTGCTTTAAAAGTAATTGAATTATGTTGTTTTTATGTTCTGGTTAAGGTTTTTTTGCCTTTAGTTAATCTGCTTGTTATAGTTGTAGAATTATCAACAAATTAAAAGTTGTTTAAGTGCAACTAAACCTAATAGATCAGCCATATTTCTTTACATTTGAAACTTAGCAGAATAGTGAATTAAGTCAGTTTCTGCAACTTCACAGTTTTTTGCCAAAGGGGACCAAAAGTGAACTCTCAGTTTTGTGCACCAAATAATCTGCTTTTTTATCTGCTGGCCGAATTACTTATTTTCGCCCAGAAATTCTAATTTTAATATATATATATATATATATATATATATATATATATAATTAAATTAGAAATAATTGTTTAACAGTTTTAATTGTATTTGGTTTTATATATATATGTATATTTCAGTTTTTAATGACGATGTTTTGAGTTTTTATGTATTTTCACCTTGCCACGAAGTGAGAACTGAATTAATTAAATGAGGAATATATCTCTAATGAAATAAGTTTAAATGAAATGCAGCAAAAATGTGTATAATTTAGTAGGTCGTGCCAGGAATTCATGTGGTTACCACATTAGATTTTTTCATTTTAAATAAATCTCATTTATCATCAATCAGTTCGTTCATTTCAAATTAATCACATTTAATCAACATTTCTGATTTATTTCTATGGTGAATAAAATTGTGGAGATCTATTTGAAAGCCAATAAACTTCATTAGAAGTATACATCATTTGTAAACTTTATTAGAAATTTTTAAAAAAATTTAAAATTGTTAATTTCTTTGTATATGATGAAACTTCATTTTTTTTGTAGTTTAATGTTACACTCTGTTTTATAGCTTTATGTCACATTTAAAATTAGCTGTATTATTAACGTGGAGTAAATTTAATATATCTTAGTGCTTCATAATTAAAAAAAAAACACTTGTGTGTGCCAAGTGATATATTCTCTAAAATTTATTTTATAGGGAAATGGATGAAAAAGATTTGAGGCATAAAGTTAGGAGCAAAAGAGATGAACCGAAAGAATCACGAACAGGATCAGTGTCTCCAAAGGTTTATATACATTTTAATCTTTTCATTAGTAGTAGCTTGAAACTTTCCATTTAATTAATTATTTAAATCTTGTGATTTTTTTCGTATATATATATATAATTTGTGTTTATTTAGGAATATTTAATATAAATGATTTCTTTTTATTGAAAAAGTGAAATAAAGTAAGGTGTAACTTTATTTAGTGCTGTAATTATTACTGAATGCAAGATTGGTGGTTCTAGATTTAAGCCAAAGAAAAACTCTAGCATTTATTAACTTCTGCAAACCAATGATCAGTATATTGTCCAGAATTGCAGTCCTTAAAAAGAAAAATCTGGCTGAAGTATATGTGGAAGAAACTCTAACCCCTAGCCCTACTGAATCTTTAACCGCTTGCCTGATTATCCCGAGTTATCTCGGGTTCGTATATATTGCAGTTAATTATTATCCTGAGAAAACTCGGGTGAAGCAGAATTTGTTAGTAAGATTTCTTTTATCACGGTTTTATTCGGTCTGGAGGAAATGAAAGGAAATATTCAGCTTTGATTGGCAGTTTGCCAAATTTTGTTGGTTGCGCGATTCTTTTGGAGGAACTGATCACGTGTTTCCCTATTGTATTGTATACGTTGGCTTGTGGATTATTAATGTATAAAGAAGGATGCATGCATTGAAAAAAATAAAATGATGGCGATGATGCAAGATAGCGAAAGCGATGATTTTTCAGATAATAATTATGAAGAGTGGGGGGGGGGAATCAAATCCAATTAGACAGTCTACTCTGTGCTCCCGTGAAAGAGATTCCAGCGGTAAGCCAGTAAGAAAAGAGACCATATACCAGTGTAGAATGTCGGGCATCACTCTGTGTTGTCCCTTGTTTCAAAAACTATCGTACAAAGATTAATATTTAACTTTTTTCCGTTTGCTCGAGATAACTCGGGATAGTAAACTAATATTAAAAATAAATGCTTTTACACCTTCAAAAAATTAAAAATTCAACTTAAAACCTACATATTTTGATTTGTTTCGTTTTGTTGTATTTAATAATAAAATAAAAAAATGTGATGATTTTTTGCAATTTTTTCAAAAAAATTTGTAAGGGAAGTGGTTAAACAAATTACAGAACTCATTGGTGAGTGATTAACCCTGATAATTATAGCTACCTAAATATTTGTCCTACCCATGAAAGTTTAATTTTCTTTCATTTTCCCTTAGTAGGCAAATGCATGAAGTTGGTATAGCTGCTAAAATAATAATAAGAAATTCTGTTTTATTGGCAGTTGTAAGCTCAGTGTGTCTCATGTGTTTTCCATACATAACCTAAACATGAGTAAAATGCTTTTAGAAATTACTTCCACAGTGGCATCTATGGCTTTTGGTAGATTATTTATCAATTTATTAATCTTCCTATTTTTATATACATATCAATATCTCTATGAATAAAGAGAAGTAACATTCATTAAAATCATTTATATGTTGTGTGGTTTCATTGGTCTCTTCTTCTTTAAGGGTAATGTAACTGGGAAGGCGTATCTTGAAATGCTTCAAACAAGTATTTTGTCTGCTGTCCAAAACCTGTTTGTTGATGAATTTTTTTACATGCACTAAGACGGAGCTCCTTTTGATTACCATTGAGATGTCAGGTTGTACCTTGATAAAACTCTATCGGACAGTGGGGGGGGGGCAAAGAGGTGCTCTTCAGTACCCACCTCAGTCTCCTGATTTGCCATCCATGGATTTCTACCTGTGGGGGGACTGTCAAGAATGATGTGTATGGACAAAAACCAGCAATAATCGACACGTTATGTGAAAAATCATAGAGTCATGTGCTTCCATTATGCCTGATACACTGCCAGCCATAGCTTGTTATGCAGTTTAGTGCCATGGGTGTTGTATAGAAGCTGCTGGTGGTCATTTCAAACATATACCATAATCCTCTCTTTTTTCTGCATATATGTCACGCAAAGTCAAATTTATCATGAGGTATGGCCTAGTAAGCAGTGAGTACATTTTTATAAAAAATGTCCGTTTTCTGTTTGTGTGGTTGTATAATTCATTTCAATCTACAGTTATCTTGATGAAATTTTGCACCCTTCTTCAAAACAAGAGGAAGTCACAGTCTGCATAAGATTTCAAAAAACCATCCCACGGGGGTCCACACTCAGGCAGTATATATAATAGAACAGGGTACTCATGACATCCATCTTGTGTACACATTAGCCATCTTAGGTTCACATTGTTGTTGTTACTTTCGCAAGTGAGTAAATTCTAAGAAAAGAATTTATATATGTATATATATTTTTTGCAAAAGATGAATTTTAATTAAAATTTTTACATAATTTCAATTTTGAAGTTGTGTCACTCATGTTGCCAATGTTGCATTCACACTATAAATTCTTACTAAAACTGCTAGATAGTGCCATGCTCATTTACTTTATAAAAGAGTGTACGATCTTTGAAGTAATTTAAGCACACTCTATCAGTTTTTCGAAAACAGCGAAGAAATGGCCAAAGGGGGATGGTGATTTTCAAAGAAAGATGTCATATTAGTTCATAATCAAGAGCATATCAGTTCTTACTGAGACCATTAGGTTTTCACCATGTTTAGTTATCTGTTTAGAACAGTGTAGAACTTTTCAGACCATATAGAATCTTTAGAGTAGAATTTAGATGCACTCTCTATCAACTTTTCATGAATACTTCGAAAGTGGGATTTAAAAAAAAAAAAGTACCTCCATGCCCGCAAATCCTGCCTCTCTACTCTGTGTAAAGTTTGAGTAATGATGTGGACCTTCAGCTAGTATACTATAAAGAGAGGATGGCAACCTCTTGTTGCAATTTTATGGTATTAGTATTAATTTCTTCAACTTTTTATTTTTTCAAGAATAATTTTTTTCTTCTTTTTTTCAGCTTTTACTTTTATTTGTGTTTTTATTATTATGCTACTGTAATAATGTCAATGTTTTATTTTTATGCTACTGTAATAATGTCAATGTTTTATTTTTATGCTACTGTAATAATGTCAGGCTCCATTTTAACAAATTTCAAGGAATTGGAAACATGGTTCACAATATGTAATCTGATAAAAGAAAAATGAACAAAATAGTATACAGATTCATAAATAAATCACAAAAATAAGAGTCTCAGGAAAATATACTTGGCATTAGACATAATATTTGCAAGAGGAATTTTTTCTCGTTAAAATATACTTTGACAGTGTTAAAAATAGATTCACTTTTAGCAATCAAGCTTTTTTCAAAAAGCATCTCTTGAATAATTTTTCCTTCCTTCACAAACCGGACATACGCTAACAGTAAAGACTCGTTAGTACTTGGCAAGGTTGCTTCATCAACCTGAAGAGGAAATTCATGAGTTTCGAAAGTTTGTGTAAGGAAGCTTCAACATCTTCAGCCATCTCATCAATTCGTCTTTGCACTGTAATATTGCTTGAGACATTTTTTATAATATTGATTATGGCTAGATGGTGCAAAACTGTTTCTGAAACTTCCTTGACAGCCGGTAGTATCAACTCTTCTTTGATGGTATAATCTTTACCCGATTTAGCAATTAATTTTGGTATATTATAAGAGGCTATCAAACCATCGTCGCATTGTTTTGATGATGCTACTAGTAAGCCTGAGGCAGATGGTGCTTTCAGGAACCTTTCCCTGATTTGACAAATCTTTATTTTCTTTGTCAGGAGAATTTTTTTGCAGATGCTCCTGCAAACGAGACGGTTTCATTGCCTCATTAGATAACACTTTGTTACAAAGTAAACACGTGGGCAGTTGCAAGTTTGATGGCAAAGGAGCGAATCCAAACTTCAAGTACTTGGAACTATATTGACAACATTTCTCTTTATTATACGACATTGTTGGCGGCAGTAAAATATGATGAGGGATGACTATTTCTAAAAAATTAATAATCCACAATCACAAAAAAGAACTAATAAGCACAATTGTCTAGGCGATGAAAGTAAACAATGAAAATAAATCTAAACTGAGGAAGAAGGAAAAAAAAAAAAAAAAAAAAAAAAAACCAGAAATGAAGACAGGTGCAAAAGTCACTTGGTTCAATCTCCTAGGCTAAAGCTGCTTTCTGAGTGTAACAGATAGCAATTGCATGACTTTTTGTAGCATAACATATCTTGAGTCCTTAATTGAGAATAAACTTTCTTGTGTGATGCGTCTCCATTATTAAATTTCTCCAGGAAAACAATGTCGATAATATAATGACAATTAAACTACTGTAACATCGGTTAATAGGAGGAGTTGTACGAAATGGCATGCATACCGCTTGACGATGCTAGTTCCAAATGGCTGAGAAAAACAGAAATAAAGCAAACTTAAAGCAACATAAGAAAAAAGGGTCAAATCCAACATTCATATTGAAAGGGCACTCAATGCATACGCTGTGATTAATGGCGTGCAGAAATAGCTAGCGTTGTGCTGGTTGGGATCTCAGTATAACCGTAGTGTTGAGTTCTTCAAGGTTCATCAAGAGCATATCAGTTCTTACTGAGACCATTAGGTTTTCACCATGTTTAGTTATCTGTTTAGAACAGTGTAGAACTTTTCAGACCATATAGTACCTAGAATATAAATTAGCCTCATCGTTCTTAGGAGCCGTCATCTAAGTTTGTTTTGTTGCTGGTACAAATAATATAAATCGGATAATCGATTTAATACATTTTTTGAAAGTTTTAAAATTAAGTTTAATTGGCAAAACATGCTCATTGTGCCCTACCACCCTGAACATATCCACCGCCCCCCTACAGCCCAAAACAAGTTCACCTCCCCTCAGCATCCTATTACTGTCCACTGGGGGGGCTGATACCACCCCCATTGAGAATGAGTGGTTTAGAGGGATTTAAAGACAAGATTTAAAGACTTGCAATACCAGAAAAAATGTGATGAAATGAAAAATGTCTTCATGATATTAGCACATTTTTTAATGCTAATTATTTTTAAAAATTATGAAGTTGATTTTATTCTTAAATTTTGTTTTATAATTACGTTAAATATTAGATTAGGCTTCATAAAAATGCATCCTACTTACAGATTTATTTTATTCTTACAAATTATAAAAGTGAAGTTCTGGTGTATATAATTAGTTTAATTCAGTTCCTGTTTACTGAGAGTTCCTTAATCATTTTCATTGTTTTTGATAGACCTTTTTTTAATATCTGATTTTTTAACTTACAAAAAGTGTTATATGTAATATTGATGTATGTATGCATATATATAAGTTTCAAAAGTTTTTGCTTCAAATTTTAGTTATGTAGAAATTAGTAATAAAATTAGCCTTAAAATCAATATTTTAAGTTATATATGTGTAATATTTTATTCTTTAGAAAAACCTGTTAATATTTATTTACTGATTTTTTTTTTTTTTTTTCTTTAGAGAAAGGGAAGTAAGCGAAGTAATAGTCGCAGCAGGAAAGGAGAGCATGAAAGTAAGATCAAGTCAACTGTTGTTGTAACCAGACCTAGATCACCTTCTGGAACTACAACAGATGCACCTGAACCAAAAAAGAAAAGTGATGGCAATTGGGAAGATGACTCAGATGGTTTGTTTAAATTTTAAAATAATCTTTTCACTATTAAATTTCTGCAGATGGCTGCTACAGTTGTATATCATTCTGGGAATTTCTTTAAAGCATTTGTGTGACAATTAATGCACAAATGTGCTAATTTACTCTAAAATTATTTTAGATTTAACTCTAAAATGATTAATTGCCTTTAGCATTTTTTTTTTCCTTTTTGAATAATAGATTGTATTTTATTCACTATGATAAGTGTATCACATTTGTTATTTGTGTTGACTTGCAGAAACTAAGCATACTTTCTTCTGAGGGAAGAGCTGTAAACTCCTATTTCTTAATTCTTTGAGCATCATGGGTATAGTCCTGAAACTTCAAAATTCCTTGAAATGTCAAGAATAAATTGTATTTTTTTGAATATATTTAAAAAATGATCCTCTCACTGTATACATTGATTCCTTTTCTTCAAGTATACATCCAATGAAAAATCCATGGATACATTAAAAGCTGGCAGAAAGTTTCATGTGTGTTGAGTATGAAAGCCATCCATCCATTTGGAATTTTCTGTCCATAACGCTGAGAGGTTTAAATAGATTATCATCTGTGGAGCTTTTAACCCTTTGACATGCGGTGGTCGTGCCCTGAAACCACCAATTTTCGAATTTTTTTCTCCTCTTCCTTCTGAAATTTTTGAGTGAAAATCAATTGAATACTGATCTTTTACCTCAAAAAACACAAATGACTACAGAATCATACAGTTTTAGGTCTTAGTACTTCAAATCGGATGCCTTTTAAAATTCGTATTCAATGAGAAAAAATATTCCTTGTATTAATATAAACACTTAAATTCAAAAGTTATTCATCGCACATCATGATTTCTATCATAAACAATAAAAATAGCAATAATTAAACTGCATATAAAAAAAAAAAAAAAAAACCTCTATATGTATGGCATTTGCTTTGCGGTTTCAGGGGTGCAACACTGCCCCACTAGAGCATTGTGACACAATGGCTCTAGAGAGGCTCGGTGGTCTGCATTTGAAACCAATGCTCTTCACATGGCGTTGCTTGGTTCTCAAATAGGAGTTTATTTTTACCCAGATGTAAATAAGGGGTTTGAATCACAGAGCTATTTTTTACTAAACAATACCTGCACCTGCCAGGAAAAGGTATTTTTCCAGAGACTTTTTTCTGACTCAACACACTTGCTCCTCAAGCTAGTATTTTGATTTTAAAATTCTTTCCTGTGTTTAAATTATGTAAAACTTTGCTGTAATTTAAAATAGAAATAGATAAAAGTTTATTTAAATTAAAGATATTTTCGAATATTTTGAGACAAAATATGAATAAAATTAAGTATGACTGGGAAGCAAGATCCGACCAAAGCCAAAAACCAACCCCCCCCCCCCATTAACATAAAAACCACAAAATTCATGTGCTATAGAAAGAACTAAATAACGCTGGAATCCAGTGAAATTTAGATCCAATCAGTGTACATTTTGTTAGCAAGGAAAGAAACATCATAGAAGAAGATACATGTGCGAAACGTCAATGTGGGTCTATGCAGGTAAAAAAGACAAAACATGCTTGAGCAGTTCACAAAAATTTTGTCTTGAATTAAAAAAAAAAAAAAAAAAGAAAAAAAAAAAACACTGAGTTTTTTTTCCTTATTTTACTGAATCCATACTTTCCTGATATAGAAAAATACATAAATGTTTATTTTTATTTTTTTGACGATTTAGTTGTAAAAAATGTAAAAAAAATATATATATGCATTCTTACACCATTTTTAAATCTAAATTTCGTCATTTATTGGAAACGCGCACGGAGAAAGGTAAGTTTTTTTTTTCCCTACTACCTAGGTAAGTTTCAAAGTCCTAGACGCGTCGTGGTTTCACAGTGCGACCACCACCCATAAAACAATGGGCAAGAGTAGATTTTTTTAAATTCATATATGTCTGTAGGATCATAATATTCAATTTCTGGAGTTAAAAAAATAATAAAAATAATATCATGCGCGTCAAAGGGTTAAAATAGATCTTTTGCTTTGCTTCTATCTTGCCTCGCCTCCTTGCCATCTTGAAAGTTGGAAATGAAAGCTTAGTGAAACAAGAAGAAAATACAGTATAAAGTCTGTATGCCCAACTTCCAGAATGATCTAAAATCTGGACCTCAAAGCCATGAACAACCTTTTTTGTATGCATACTAAATAAAATACCTCATTATTGAAGAAACAATCATTTTAGCATAAATTTATGTTGTCTATAATTTGACTCCATAGTTGCGTATCTGCCTGACATACATCTCAAACCTGCATAGAAACATCATTGATTTTTCACCTACTAATGTTTTATATCCTTAATGCCAAACATGGGCATCATTATTTATTATAATTGGCTTTCATAACTGCATGTTTATCCAACACATGACAACCCGAGTTGTGACACATGCAGTGATGCTTAAACTATTTTTTTAATATTAGTGAATAGAAAGAGTATGGTTAACTTTTTCTGTTGACATTATGCTTAATGATGATTTCAGATTTAGGTTAAACGAGCTAAGAAATGTTGACAAGGAAAAATTTAACGAAAATTTCTTTCCAAGTGCTAAAAATAGATTTTGTTAATGATACTCATAGGCAAAAAGATTATATTTAGGCCTATTTGAATTAAGGATAACTGATTTGATATTCACATAAACCCAGAACCGGAGCCAGAGCTTGTATAGCCACACTGGGTGGCAGAATTTAGATAAAGCAAATTTAGGACCTGCAGAGACTGCATCAGGTGGTAAGATATCTATCCTCGATTCTTTAGGCCTAAGTTCTCGAAAAGCCGTAGGTATACGTGGGAATTTATTTATTAAGGACTCAGATAAGCCTTAAGTATGTGCAAGAAATAGATGTAAGTATAATAAATAACTAAGCTAATACAATTTGGGCTTAATTGCCTAATATTGCAATAGAAGCAAGGCAATATTTAGTGGAATAACTTGTCTTTCATCGCCAATATCATAATACATAGCCAGTAATGTATAGCAGACGCAATTAAGTTAAGCTAAAATTATACATTACTGATTCTAAGGAATTTCAATTAATATAGTAGATTGCACTGCTCCTTAACTTTTTGATTTGATCCAGCTTATTTTTCACAGGCTGTTATTATTATAGCACTTTTATGAAAATTTAAGTTTGAAATACTTTTGATTAAGATGAAAACAGTTTCTAATTCTGGAGCTACAACAGGATCTACAAAGTGAAAGCATGTTTTGATGTCCATTAAAAAGTGGAATTGCTGCAAAAATGGATAAAGGTATATCTGTCTCCGAGGAGTATGATATTTGAAAGTCAACTGCACATGATATAAGAAAAAGAAAAGGGAACTTTTAAAATTTGTTGTGGATTCCAACACCCCACTCACAATGAATGAACTTTAGAAAAAGTATTCGTTATGCTAAAAGTGACGATCATGACAAAGTATAGGTCAGACAGCGTTGCAGCGAGGGTATGCCATTGAAGGGTCCAATGCTAATGGCTCAAATCAAAATATTTTGTGAAGAAATGTACTTAAAATCTTATATATTTGACAGGCTGGTTAACCAAATTTCCGCCCGGTGGCAAAGTGGCTAGCGTGTCGTGCAGCTGCACCACAGGTCCGGGGTTCGATCCTCAGGCTGGGCAAGGTTGACTCAGCCTTTCATTCCCTGAGTGGTTCAATAAAATGAGTACCAAGTTCACTTCGGGACTAAACACTGGGGGGGGGGGTCCTACGACAAGCTGACCAATTGCCCAGGGTATATGCGGATGCACACCAGGGCGCAAGATCAAGCAAGCATCTGCAGGCCGTGGCCTACTAGGGCTATTGCGCCACTGAGTTTAGTTTCTTTCTTTTTTTTTTTTTTTAGGTTAGCCAAATTTAAAAATCGTCATGGTGTAAGGCAGTGGTCGGCAAAGTGCAGCTCCAGAGCCGCATGTGGCTCTTTGGCTCCTTAACTGCGGCTCTGGTACTAATATCCACGGAAAGCGCAATAATATTTTCATTTAAAAAAAAACTTGGTAAGAAAAAAATTACATCTTATTTTGATAAATTAAAATTCTTCTATAAATCGAGAACACGTATAATTTTTTGCTTGAGTAAAAAGATAGATAGGTAATTAAAATTTTATATGGTTGTAAAAATACGTATCGTACGAACATCGAGTATAATTTTGTTAGTTTTCATAAACGTAAACATAAACCATGTACAAGCTACTGGCATGCGCGTGCATGCTTTTTATAAAGTAGTGAAGGTACAAATTGGCATCACAGAGGCAGCAGTTGCAATGTGTTAACAGTTTTGTCTGATCTACCGTGTCTTGCCGTTGTCCTGTCTAACTAAAAAGTTGTTGTATTTTTTAATCTAGCCGCACATCCCCTTACAGGTATTTTTATACGATTTTATTACACCTGCTATGTATGTTTGTGGTTCCGGGTGCAAAATTTGTAATCGATTTTTCGATAACTTCTATTTGTCCAAATGTTGGAAGTTTTCTTCCATTTTTGGTCATATTAAAAGTTTTGTTATTCTGATGATGGAAAAAATTATTTTTTTCTTTTTAGTGCAGTTACATATATATTAATAAAATTGTATTTTTTAAAAAGATTTTTAAAAATTTTTATTTTCATCAATTTAATAATGATAATAAGTTTGTACTGGTGGCTTTAGAAAAAAATATATTCGGAATATTTTTATAAGCACCTCAATTAACATGGCTACCAGAAAAAAGCAAAGAAAAACGGAAGATGAAAACCGCGAATTTAAAGTTGAGTGGACCGAGGATTTTGCGTTTATTCAAAACGTGAATGGACTTCCAACATGTCTTATTTGTAAGGAGAAATTCGCGCATAACAAGAAGTCAAATTTTGAGAGACATTTTACAAGAAAGCACGCGTCATTTAGCACTAAATATCCTACTGGTTATGAAAGGAAGAAAGCAATTAAGGAACTTCAGAAGAGTCAAGAGTCGTCAACTTATGTGTTTAATAACTG